TTCTGCCAAGAACTCTCATTAAGCCCAAAGATTTCTGTGGCTCTAAATTACATTCTACCTAGATGATATTTTTACATTGACATCATATACTGTATAAAAGGTAAGTTCCTGATTCATCAAGGATTGGTTATTCTGTTTGCGTCTTCTTTTCATGGCAAGAGATGTCTAAAACAACTCTTCAGGAGTTCACTCAATTGAATCGGTAAGTGGAAAGCTCAAGTTTGAAAAAAAGAGAAAGCTGCTTATTTATTACATTTTCACACCAGAACCAATTGCTGTCACCAGAATCTGGGGGTGCAATGATTAAGAGCTCAGGGATTACCTGAAAGGTCCATCCATGGTCTGAATTTACCAGTCACGTGCTCATGAGGTTAAAGACCTGACAGTCAATCGACTCCCATAAATATTACAGTGCAGGAAATTGATGAACAGCACACAACAGGACTGGTACCCTCATGGAACTTACTGTCTAGAACTGGAGATATATTTTGGTTAAATATTCATAAATAAGCTCACTGTGCATATGATTAAATGATCCCTGGAGATGCAGTGGTTAATGTGCTTAGCCACTGACCAAAGGTTACAGTTCAAACCCACCAGGTGCTTTGTGGGAGGAGAAGTGACAGTCGGCTTTTATGAAGGATACAGTCTTGGCACTTTGTGGGGCAATTCTACTCTGTCCTAGATGGTTGCTAATAGTTGCAATCTATTTTAAGGGGGGTTTGCTTTTTTATCTGTTTGTTTGCTTGCTTGTTTTGTTGTTGTTTTTAAATCATTTTATTGAGGGCTCTTACAGCTCTTATCACAATCCATACATCCATACATCCATGTGTCAAGCACATTTTACATATGTTGCCATCATCATTTTCAAAACATTTTCTTTCTACTTGAGCCCTTGGTATCAGCTCATTTTTTCATTTTTTGCTTGTTTTATATATGATCTATAAATTAAAGTTTAAATTCTGAGCACCCTAGTTTGCAAAAGTGTATGGATGGCAGCGATGGCCTAAAACCCATTTGCAGAGTCCCCACATAAATTAAGCCTCCATCGAATGCTTTCTGATCAACCAAGGCTGTAGTCAATCTTGCCCTGGGGCAGAATGCCTTGGAGCGTGGCTTGCCTCCACCAGTCTCCAGCCAGCCCAGAGAAAGGCAGCCTTTCTCTTGGGGCGATCTTAGGTGCGTGTTGATGGAAGTCATCACACTGGGAATAGTACAGGAGGTCCCATAGTCCTGAGTCAGGCCCTGTCAGTCTCCCTGCCTGCCTGCCTGGTCGAAAGGCATTGAACCAATCTCATAAGCCCTTCTATCTAACAATGTACATGTCCTAATTGTGGTCCATTCTTGCTTTTGTGATCCCACCTATAATTGTGATATTTGATCTGCCACCAATCAACCTTTTGTGACAGTTCCCTTTGCCCCCACCCATGCCCTTTTAAAAGCTTGGTATCTCGGAGCAGTGTGAAGAAGAGGCGAGAACGACCCCCGGATCGACCAGAGCCTGCGCGCCCCCGCATCCATCCCCTCGTCCAGCGCCTGCACCACGCCGCCATGCCCAAAAGAAAGGCTGAAGGGGATGCTAAGGGAGATAAAGCCAAGGTCAAGGATGAACCTCAGAGGAGATCAGCAAGGTTATCTGCTAAACCCGCTCCTCCAAAACCAGAGCCTAAACCGAAAAAGGCCCCTGCGAAGAAGGGGGAGAAGGTACCTAAAGGGGAAAAGGGGAAAGCTGATGCTGGCAAGGACGGGACCCACCCTGACGAAAATGGAGACGCCAAAACAGACCAGGCACAGAGAGCTGAAGGTCCTGGAGATGCCAAGTGAAGTGTGTGCATTTTTTATAACTGTGTACTTCTGGTGAGTGTACAGTTTGAAATACTATTTTTTAAATCAAGTTTTATAAAACTGCGGAATTTTGTTCTACTTTTTTTTTTAAGCTATGTTGTTAGCACACAGAGCACTTCATTGTTGTCTTTTGGGGGGAGGGGCAAGTGTCACTAATAGGCTGTCTCCAAAGCTTGATGGGGTGGAAGACAGCACCTTGTCCTGCTAGTTTTGAGAGACTCCCTCTGGGTTCCCAGGAGATGGGATTCCCTGACATTGACACATGTTAGCCGCCTTGGCACAAACACCTTGTGAGAGAGGAAAAGTACAGCTTTGTTTTTACATCCTCCATACCTTCTCCCTCTCTGCCTTC